AACAGTATAAATATCAACCAGAAGAGGTGGTTGAAATAACAAGTACTAATTAATTAAAAGAAAGAAATTATATTTATTGTTGAAGTACGCATGTTCACTTTAAAGGTAGATACCATCAACCTCTTATTCAGGTGTTGAGCTATTTTCGTCAACTGTGTATAATACACACACACATATAAATGTTCGTAAATCCTGGTTTTTGTTATTCATCAATGTCTAAAATACGTAATTAGTAAATAAATATGTATAATTTGATTATACTGTCGTATTAATTACCAGAAAGTTATAACTTAAATTTTATCTTTTGGAAAATCCAATTCATCGTGCAGATGGCACTACTTCTTTTGTCGTGCACTATAAATTGTCTTTTTTTTTCTTATAGGTAAACGCAAAGCTCACAATGGGCTATCTGTGCTGTGCCCACTACGGGTTCTGAAACCCGATTTTTAGTGTTAGCTTGGACTTGCCGCTGAATTATTATGGGGCACAAATTATCACGCTGTTAGTTATTATATACAAGCGTGTAGCCCGTCTAAAATGACGGGGCAAGTACTAACACCCCCACCCCATAGTATACCCTAACTTCACATTTCATATCTAACTGAAATAAATAAATTTTGCGAAATCAAGCTTGACCAACAAAGAGGCAGAAAAATGCAGTCGAGGCAGTCAAACGTCGGTAAATTCCTTTGTGAACCAATCAAAATTAAGATAATTTATGAAATGAATTTGTGGCGTATTCATAGAATAATTATTGGTAAAAATCAGTTAGATTAATAACTTCTAATATATAAAAAAGTCAGTACGTTTTGGTAACACTACGTTCCAAAAATGGCTTTTATGTCATGTTACTTAACAGCAAAAGTAGAACCTAATACTGTTGTTAGTCTTTGTACTGAAAGTATAAAATGAAATGTATAGACAACAAAACTGGAAAAATATTTGTTGATTTCTTAATTTAGAGTCTCCGTTGATTAAAGAGGTTTGTTTATTAAAAACGTTTGTGATATAACAGCAAATAACTTAATCCAGAAACGATTTAAGTTAAAGCTGAATCGATATTTTTACTTTCATGATAAATTTTATGCACTTGGCTCTAGGCTAGGTGATCTCACACTACGTCTTTACTTTAGACTTATTATACCAACACTTACTACATTTATAAGGTTTCACGGTACCACCCCCTCTCACCCTATATCCCGTCACTAAAATCGTAATAGGCAGACAGTAATCGAACTATTCTATGTGGATAAATGCATTTTGGCTTTTATGACTC